TGTAATCCTTACTTTCCACAACAGGAAGTATTTTGGAGGTCACACCAGTGTGTGGAAACCCCCGCCTTCATGTATATAGAGGTATTTCTCACCACACATATAGAGTTATAGCAATTTATTTCCAATTAACTATCCATTAAACTAGGTAGACTTCGTGTTACATTAAGCAAACTCATCATAACTCTAACTCATCCTCATACTTGGTATGTCATTCTTTCAATTTCCGGAACCATTCTAATTTCATCCTGGCGTATCCAAAAGTTCGTGAAACTGGCCGCGGGATCAGCCGCGCCTGTCAAAATAGGATGGATTCCGGGCCACGAATGGCTGGCAGGAAATGAAATTGCCGATGAACTCGCTCGAAGATAGCTTAACTCGCCGGATAACTCTAGGACGACACATGGTGTGATGACCCTCGCCTCATCTGGACGGAAAGCCCGTGAACTGGCCAGGCAGATGTTGACAGACTGGTGACACTCCAATCGCCCCAGACATTACGCCGACCTTGAACTCGAGATGCGGCGCAAGAAACCGCCAGAACTAGCGCTAACTAGAGCGTTCTACGCCCGCTTAATCGCTGCTCGAACTGGACATGGGGACTTTGCGGTATATCATCGCCGCTTCAATCATACTGACGCCAAACTCTACTGTGAGTGCGGGAGGGAAAAATCAATTGGTCCCCTTGTCCAGTGTCGAAAAGCACTGGCAACATATCTGCTGAAAAGCGGAAAGCGTAGGGCGCCGGCTCTGGAAATAATGCTTGGATCAAGAGGATGGTGTCACGGATTCTAGGACAGGTGCTGGAGCAACTATGTGGTTGATGGTAGTAGATAATTATTCTAAGGAGAGAACTACTACAAGATCTATCTACACATGTATATATACAAAAGAGCCTCATGTTCTACGACGTCATTGCACTATCAATTGAAGAGATTGTGTCCGATCTCGTATATTCCCAGCCGATAGCTTCTCACCGACAAGTGGTGCCATGTTGAGCTGCACTGTTGAATCGGATGCTATGCAGATTCCGATGCTCCGATATTAGATCGATCGATCGTGCGCACCCTAAATCGGACCAAGCCTATGTTAGCCAACATAGGCTACAGGAACCAGCCGTCACAGATGGCAGCTGTTCAGAGATTACGTCCAGGAGAGTGGAATATACGCGGAGGCTAGTCGGGGGATGGCAGAGATACCTGTGACTCGGAGGTGATAGATCAGGGGCCTAGGTGGTTTGGCATGGACAGAGAGATTGGAATCGAGGCTCAGGCGCGTAGTGGCAGAGGCGGAACGATGGAAGGGAGATTGTTTAAGTTTTTCTTTTGTAATGCGGGAATTTGCGGGAAAGTTTTTGTTTTGTTTTCGATTTCGGGGTGCTGAATTTGTCATGACTCAACACATAGATGCATTTTGGCATGGTTCCGGTCATTGAGGTGGAACGAGGCATTTGTACTGCATGGTAGTTAACCTGATCCGGTCCGACCCCACTTGTGCTCAAGCTCCAGTAGGAGTGCGACAGTAGTAACTTCACCTAGCACGTTAATGATCAAACAAACAAACAATGGGCTTTTTTATGGGTGTAGATAATGTACATATGTATCAGTCCTAACTATGGGGCATAGACTATTATTGAATTACTATCTCTCAACTGGTCTCACATTCTCAGTGTCCGATTATCTCTTTCTGCTCATTTGCTGTTATCCCTAGCTTATACACTATTCTATATCTACTCATAACCTAGTCACAACATCTCGTCGGTGATAACTACTTTGCCTAGGAGCATGTGAATTGCGATGGGAATTGTCGCAATAGGAAGGGCCACTGAATCCGAGGCCTTTTCCAGGATTGCATCCACCTGGACAAAAGACTCAGCAGAGTCCAGAAGGAGCTGTCGTATCTCCCGGTTTTTGGCTCGAAGTGACAAGCCAGTCGGAACACGGTATAAATGTTCGATATTCTGCAGGGGAAGCTCGAGCACTTTTGCCGCCGCATCTCGCATACCGGCCGGCGAAAGAGCGCGCCAAGCATATTCTATTCCGAGTCGAAGAAACAATCGATCATCTTTTGGGGAAGTTTTCGAGGGCTTTGCTAGAGGTCTCGTTGGTGCCAAGCGTTTGTTGTGGACCCGCACATCTTTCACAGGTGCTACCGGTGTGCGGAGGCCAGTTCGGGTTACTGTTGCCCAGGTAGGCTTGACCTAAGTTATCATTGCCTGGTTCTCTTTTTGTAGCTGCTCTGGCTGCTTTTGTATTGATGTTTCCACGATCATTTCACCATGATTCTGGCAATTTGGTCGTGGGGGGAGGTTGGGAAGGACTGTTCCTGGTCCCGACAACATGATTTGAGCTACTGCAGCTCTGAGATAGACCTTCATGGAGTCTATAAATTTAACACTCCGCCCTCTGGATAGAAGTGCGAATGCATTCTTGTTGTGAATAACTCGGGTCAGCTCCGATCGAGCCTCATCGGGCTCCCACCATCGCAGCACTCGGACACGCGGCCACAGTAAGCTAGATGAGATTAGGGCACTGATAGCACAGCTAAGTACCTAATCATCCTGGCAACATCCCTACATCCGAGTGTTGCCTGGTGGACCAATGCGTTTAGACTGAGGCACACATCACTCTGATGGCTACCGAGGGGCAATAGCATATAATGTGACGACGGTGTATAGCTCTGCAATCCCGGGAGTTCCACACTAGCAACCAGTGTCAATAGTATGTTATGACAGGAGATATTGGTAGGGGCTATGGAAGTGGTTACTGTGACAGAAGTAGGAAGCACCTGTGGTGAGTGCGTGATCAGGACTGGGGTACTGAATGTATATATAAGGAAGCAATACTTCCGCAGTTAGATTGTAAGTTAACCATCTCACTACTGTCCATTCCAACGCGTCTTCTCACTACAGCCATATCAAATATATCCGCGCATCCATAATCATTTGCATCCATTTCAGGTATTCCTCTGTCCCCTCATGACCTCGTTATCATAACAATTCTCAACACTGTTGATGGCAGCGGTGCATATTGTAAGGTTAAATGCAGTCTGGGTCGCCCGCTGTTCTTCGGCTTCAAGTATGGCTCGAAGCTCAAGAGGACAATTCGCAGTGTTATTGGAGCTACTATCGCTGCAAGAAGATTGATTGTTCTATTTGCCCCCGGAATGGTATTCTAAGGTGTTGAGGTGGTTTCGACTTCGTCGGCTTTTTTTAAGTTAGCATTAGCTGTCCGCTTTATGGCCGGCACAGCAATCTTTCTCGTGACTGTAATAACGGGGGCCTCTGAGACCTGACGGCTTTTGGGTTCGTTTATATAATTGTGAGCTCTCAAGTCCCTCCAGGATATATCGGTCAATAACCGCATCACCCATTTCGACATTGGGGTTCGTGGAGTTAGAATCTTCTTCGAAGGCTCTTATCATTTCGGTCATGTCCAGCTCCATTTTTCGCCCGTCTATCGAGCTCAATGGTATTTTCTTTTTTGCCAAGCGCTTTTCCAGCCTGGTTTTCGCCCTATCAATGGTTCTTTGAAAGCGAATAGATCGCGATGATCTGGCAGGCCCCGGAGACATGTTGGGGATCCGGGATCTTGCTACTTAGAGAATTCGGATTAGTGTAAGTGTATGTGAGTCGGAAGGGAACGGCAATGGTAATGGGGTGTCTAATCAATTCTCTCACTAATATTCAGGGCTTTTAGCACTGATATGTGTCATAGCTAGATAGCCGAGTAAACTTAGAAGACAAAATTCATCATGAATGTAGTTTCACAAACTGTCATGGTTCCACCATAGTCTAGGTCAGCTGAAAATTCAAGTAATCATTGGGGCGCAGTAGGATGGGCCCCGTATAATATATTGCACCAACTAGGCGCCATATTGATCAGGGGCTTGGAAGGATCGTGAGATTGCGGAGCACAACTGTCAATGATGTCCCCTACGAACCTTCAGTTATCACTGTAGAGTCTGCACAGCCGAGATTGAGTAACAAAGTCCTCACATCGATGAGGATTCCCAATCGTTTTCGACGTCTGTATCGTCTTCATCCCTAATTACATTCCCATAACAACATTATCATGTAAAAGAAGCCATCCGACGAGTTTTTGGAGGGTACCATGTACCCGATACGGAGATGGTGGAATGGATCTAGTTGGCCTCGACTGTTACGAAGAATGGAGATGTAGATGAATATGCGCACCTCGTGTGGCTCCGGTATCTAGTCCTCACCTGGCTGGGGCTGCATTTTGTCTGCGATGTTTTCAGGCGCATGCAGCTTACATTACTACCTCCTCTTTTTTGGGAAGAAATTTCGATATAAAAGGCGGCTAAATTTCACGGGTAAATACTGAGCTGAATGGCTATTCATCACGGGTAATATATCAATAATCTTTCAAGTAACAAAAGAGGCCATGAGCAGCGTGCAAGGTATGACTTGGCTCAGAAAGGAGCCTAATATGCAAGAAAACCATGGACCCAAGTACCGTAATAAATACCAAACTAAACCAATATCCAGACCAGAGTTGTACGGTAAGTCAAGACTCTCAGACTTGACACCAAGGCAATTTCGAGATAAGGGACGCATTATGTCATTTTGGCCAAGATTTAATCATTCATCCTAAGTTTAATGTGGTTGGAAATAAAGCGGCTTGTCGAATTTTCCCTAGGATTCCGTAAATGCATAAAAGCTTCAGTCATGGCAACAGTATCTAATTACGACAGGCCGGAAGAAATTCCCGACGAGGATTACCTCACGTAATGGATCAAAAAGTATATAAAAATACTGGTGAGATAATTTAAGTCAGTTGCTGTAAGGCTCGACCTAATTTCCCGCAAAGACTATTGTCTAATAGTGGCGGCATGTTTCTTGTGAGTGACTGTCCTTCTATTACGTACACGACTGGAGAGATACAACAGAAAATAAAATCAATAAATATTCAGATTCTTGCCCTTCTCTGTCTGCCATTGTATCTTTCTTCTTCTGCCCTCCAAATCCCACGCCTTCCAAAATGTTATCAGCCAAAAATCTTATTCTAGCCGCATCTGCTCTAGCTTGTGTAAATGCAACAATCGTTCGATATAGTATGGATCAAGGCGCAGTCTGCGATTCACAGGCATACACAGGGTCGATGATACTGGAAGTCTTTAGTAGATATTGTAAATATGAAGGCAATAGATGGATACTTAGCGGAAATAGCTTAATCGAAAGATACATGGCTGAAGATCAAACCATGCTCGTCTACTTGCCTCTACCAATGATAGGCAGTGGCGGCAATATGGACTATCGTAAGCCGCCCAAATAATCCCCGTTTACTCTATGATGTGAAAGCTAATATACTTCCAGGGCAAGTCACAGATCGATTTATAGTAGTTGATAGTGGTTGTAATTATTACCATGTGACGAGACTGAGTAAAATGGTGGGAGGAGGACAAAATGAACTGGGGAATTTGGTCTACATCTGCTATCCACCTATGAATTAAAAGAAAATCTTGTGTGTTGGTTGTCAAGATGGATTAATTTTTCAAAATCGAAATGTATTCAGCTGTATTACTATGACGATTTGTCGCGTGTGGTGAATCTACTACTTAGCACATGGATTAGTCTACCTCGGCCAGCCTAAGTTCAGGCCCAGAGTAGTCGCCCGCTATTAATTACTGCCTCTCAATTTGAGAAAGGTATTGCCGCTGGTCGATATGTTGCAATCATTGACAGCTCCTGTGACGAAATTGCACTAACATACTTGATCCCTCATAGTTGGCCAACAGGCCTGCTATCTAAAAAGTTCGCTTAGAGCCATGCATAAAACGGGAAATGATGCTGGTCAGAGACTAAAGACCTTTTGCCGTGTTCTCGCCAATTTGGGAGGGCAAATATTATCCAAGTTCAGTAAAATTTAGCAATATTAAAGAAATTAGCCCCCGAGGCAATGATTCAAGACACTCTATCAAATAAATCTCCCCCAACGAGATGGATTCCTACCAAACCATCATCGGGTCTACACTTACTACCTAGTACATCCTCGTTCTCTGAGCTCAGCTGACTACCAAGTATATGACCACGCCGATGCTCAAACCTACCGGGGAAGATACATTGTACCGCGCAAATCTGCGCGGAAAATCATCAAGAGGAACGTGAGGGATCAGGAACGATGGACAGGCAATGCTAAAGATAAATGCAATCTTTGGAGTGTTCGGATTTCGATTTTTGGAAAGGAATTCTTCAAAGAGCAATGTGCGCTGTCCGACTTCGTTAGCGGTGGGTGACTCTTCTCAACACCTGTCAGTGGTAGCTCCTCCGAACTATTGGAAATATCGCGCAACGAGATGGGCTCAATGTCTGCGGAACGAAAACAGAAGTTCACTAAAAGAGTATCATGTTCGGATTGTAGCTAAAAGTATGGGAAGTGTGCGCCCCCAGTACAATTGTATTGTTATCCGGTATAGTTGGATTAGCCTGGGCACCTATTCCACTTGGGAAGGAAACACCTAATACCATATTCGCGCAGAGAAAAGTAAATGGATGATGGAGGCATGTCGGGATAACTCAAAGTTTTCGAGACGTTTCCTTGGGTGAGTACTCACGGATGATGGTTGACTTGGGGTGAAGAAAAAGCCGCCATAACTTCGCAGTGGTACTTGCAAATGAAATCTGAGGGATGAGAGCTCCTCCTCTATGATGAGTCATAGTTAGACAGTTCCATATGCAACAACAATCCGATGCAAAAAAAACCTCCTTGTGCTCATTCCATGCAGCCGCTCATGTATCAGTTAGGTAGCCCGAAGCGCTACCATATTACCCAATGCAACCTCTTAATTACAGACAAGATCGTGTCGGGAATCTAGACGAAATGGAGGGCCCGTACGTATACAATACTCTGTGTCTCCTTTTCCAACTGAAAGGGTTCTGAAGATTTACCTCGGGTAGGGTTCACGGGTTCCTTATTCAATCCCACTAGGCTTAATTGTCTAGCGAGGACAGTTGAGTAGTTTTCATTTCAGAGGCTGAGTTCAGCACGCCATGTTTTCTGTCTTTAGTAATAGTTACATTATTCTAATCAAATCTCACTCTCGTCCTCTGCCAACCACAGTTACCTACTGTCACCCCCGGCCACTTTAGCTAGATCGACTCTCTGCATTCCCCTTTACCACTTCTCTAGAAAGCCTTCCGTGTTCCCACGAGGCTACCTTCCTCAGTACTTCGTACGCTACGCCCTCTCCCTACGCCTCAAGTCTTGCGCATAGTGAACCTGCACCTGACACCAACATCATCTTAGTTATTGCCATTATCTTACAGATGATTTAAAATTAGAGAAAGTGTGGAGTACTAAACGAGACAGGTCAGACAAGTACTTATAAATTACATGACTTTAAACAAATTCTATTGTTGATGAATACAGCACTCCCGAGTTCCAGAGGCGGCACGATGATGTTGGTCTAAGCTACTTGAGAGCATATACTCTCTGTCAAGGTTATTCTGATGTTTCAAACCAACACTAGAGAAAGACCAAAAAGGGTAGCTGTATCTTTAGATTTAGTCTAGATATGGGGGTTAGTAGAGCTCAGAATCCAGTGATATTCGCGATTTTCTCGACTGCTATACACCCGCCAGTGGTCTTCGTTTTGTTGACTGGAGCTGAGAGACAATAAAGGGCAGGGAGCTTCCCAGATTATATCGCAGTTGGAAATATTGCGCAAGAAAATGGGCGTAGTATTTCTAGAACAAAAAAAAAGAAGTTAAAAAAGTTTCGTTTGTGAATTAGTGCTAAATTAGTGCGAGGTATACGTTACAAGCACAAGTAAAAGCAGTACAGATTGTCATCTCTTGGAAACAAAGATGGCAATTAGAGCCGTTTAGAGAAGGTGAGGGCAGAAAGGCCAAAGGACTTGGAAAATACTACAGGATCTTCGCACTAAAGAATATTCCAGACTTCAAGCTCAGACCATATAACTACAACAAATACAACAGAATAACTCAGGTTGAATACTTTCAGGCAAGGACTGGCACTGGGAATACTTTGGCTTATCTCAGAAATTGGAAAATCAGAAAGTGATTGGTGTGACTACGGTGGGGAAGGAAGACAGACAGTGCCACATCTAATCCTTCATTGTAAAAAATTCAAGGTTGAAAGGGGAAAAAATTTTGCAGGAATAACACCACTTAGACTATCACTTGTTTTTGGAACAGTTGTAGGGAAGATAGCATTGCTTTGCTTTCTTGAGTCAACTAAATGCCTTGGGGCATGCAGAAGATGAAATGGAGTAAAATAAAAATTACCTGAGGAAAAGAACATGGAGAGACATTTTAGATATCTTCTGTATCATAGCTATATAGCTTAATAAACTATGAATTAAAAAAAAAGCAGTACAGAGCTTAAGCCACAATATAAACAATCGTGGCGCCACATAGGCATAGAAATCACCCAAAACTCCCTGTGTCCACACCATGCAGGCGCTCATGTATCTAATAGGTAGCCTAAAGTACTACTACATTAATCTTTCCAATCATTTTACTGCACACTAGATCGTATCGGGAACCTAGATAAAATGAAGGGACTGTACGTCCATCATACTCTGTGTAACACGATTTCAGTAAAACATGCAAGGGCAGCCTTGTAGTTACAGTATATTAATCATAATTTTCTAGAGAGAAAGCTCCTACAGCTTAACAAAAAGTATATATACAATCTAAGACAATACCTTTCTATTTGATTCCCTGTATAATCAGAATTGTTAGAAAACTTCGACAACTCCCTAGAAGATTCTCGATACACCTGTCATCCTCATAAACCCTCAGTTTGCATCCAGAAGGTTCATTGGGAATCTTCTAAGCTCCGTTATTCTGAGATCTTTCCCGAAGGCTCCCTTAGTGTCATTGCCTGCGCTAAGCGGCGTGGGCTACAGGAATCCTTAGGTTTAACAGCCGTTACACTGTGTCTCCATTGCTCACAGTAACCGAACGAGGACTCCTGAGGAGAGCTAAATAGGATGTAAAGGAGGGGATACAGTAGCTGAGGTATGGGTATCTTTGGTCTACAGACAGAGAGGATCGACACTCCCTACTCCCCATTCGATCTTCGAGTGAGAGGGAAAATATCATGAAAAAATAAAATAAATAGATGAGAAGTTACCGGTGTCAATTATATCATAAACACCAGCATCGACGGCAAAAAATGAATTATTCACACCAGCGTGCCAACAAGAGGCTTAGGAGGTAAAGAGAGGGCCTGGTTTCCCGCACAAACAGTTCCTGGCCCCAGCACAATCAGGGTCTAGCTTCAGACTACAGGCACCTTCACTATACACGCGAGGATAGAGAAAATTCTAGAGGTATATTTTGGATGATAAAATCTCGAGCTGATAGCCAATTGTGGTTCTTGCAGATTGAATGAGACCACACAGTCAATAAATTAAATAGGTAGTGAGGGCTTTATAGAAAGATTTCTCCCTCATGGCTACCCAAATAGGCCCATCTACCGCCAAGTCAAGTCAAATGAAATCAGTTTCAAATTTATATCAAAAGCAAGGCGGACTCGGCTAGGAGATGGGGGAAATGAACAAAAGGCAAATATGCAGTTCAAAGGATCTGGTCTACGGCGTTCGAGACTCTATCAACAAGCTCAAAAATTCTCAAACTGTTATTAAATTTTACACTTACCATTGAGGTTGAGCGGTTTTTGGCCTCTCTGTGGCAGTTACTTGTCACCGAAAACCATCACGTCCCAGTATTTGCAGGAACTAGTAAAAACTATCTTGTGTTCGAATCTTTTATAAATTGGCTTCCATCGGCCACCAACTTACTATTGCCTCCTCACCTATCCTCTCGTCTAATCCAGTTCTACCAACAAGTCATTATTTGTACGTAAAGATTTCTTTGAGCCTCGGTGAGTGTCGTTGATAATTTCTATTCTTCCTTTGTGACTCATGCAACAGTTCCCAAAGACCATAATTTCAGACCAATCTGACCAAAAGTTCAACTTCTTTCAATTTAGACTTGAGTCTACTTCCCTTCAGGATGAAGGTCCAGAGTTTTACAGGACCTATCGTATTCCTGAGTGCGTTGCTATCAGGATGTGCTGCTGCTCCTTATAACTGCAATGGAATTGAAATCAACATGAACGATGTTTCGAAAACTTTTGGCTTGGTCCATTCGGGACGATATGAATCACAGCTACTTAAAATCAGTTTAGGTGAACTTTACAGCTATCAAAATGTTTATCTGTTTCCCATGTCATTTGATGACAATAGTAAAGTTAGACGTAGGTTAATTTTTGGACTTGATCTTTTTAGCCACTTACTTTCAAGCAGAAGGAGAAGAAATTTATTTAGTTATGAGCCTTCAAAAGAGCGAATATGGTGCGGTTCAAAAAATTGGTTCAAATTACAGTAAATGTACATAATAAGAAAGATAGACTAGAAGATGTTATTGTTTTAATCTTACGCTTTTCATTTGCGAACTTCATTGTGAGCCGTAATATATATCACGTGATGCCATGTTAGGGAGAAGGAACAGAAAGGCGAAAGCCAAACCTAAGCAATTTATCCCACTTGTAGATGTAAACATCCATTCATTGTGTAGAGAAACAACTCCGAAATGGTGTAAGAAAAATAGTTGGGGACTTAGATATCCAAGTCTCAGTTATCTCATATATTGTGACCCATAAACCTCTAGCTTATCTCTTCTACTCAACAACAAAGCTTCAACAATTACAACTGTCAAAGGAAAATAAATTGAAGTTGAGGGTAAGTGAAATACTGCACAGGTACTGGATAGTATGGCGTGGTAGATGGCAAAACTTCATAGCGAAATCTTTGGAAAAGTTTGTGCATGATGAATTTTTACAGTCCTGTACCCATAGTAAAACGTAGGTCCACTATGGGTACAGGACCGGTGGAGCCAGCATGGATCCCTGTGTTCTTTTCCACAATCCACTCATTCCAACCGCGTGAATCGCTACCCAAATTGCAGCAGATTATTACAAAGCGAAAAGCAAGAAATCAAAAATACCTCCGAAAGAAAGCAGGAAGATTCCTCCAACTTCAGCCTAAGCAATGCACTCCTCATACATCCCATCCCCCGTCACACCTTCCAAATGACAGCTTTTCCAATCTCTGCTGAGGGCGAGAGATAGGTAGCAGGTACCATTGATACAGCCGTTAACTGTGAAGGGAATACTCCCTTGTGTGTGTACTGTCTGCGCGAGTACGTTAGAGATAGAATCTAGGGTCTAGTCAGCTATAGAGACTACCAAAGGTGTAGATTGGATACAGTTGCTAAGCAACTGAGACTGTTATGATCGGCGTCGTTAATAACAATCCCTTATGTAAATAGCAAGATGTAGAAGACCTTCCGTCTCTAGATTTCATTAATTATCTGATTTTATCTTGGACTTGCTCTGCTGTATGCCAGCATCAATTGATCCGGCAACAGTAACCTATTACTGGTTATTAATATTGAAGGGCTGAGGGCGATGGATATGGAGATGTCACCTTGTGAATCGAGTACTGATAAGTGCGGGAGAATTCAATAGAATACTTGGACAGAGAAGGATGGTTGAATGATGGCAAATTGCAGATGTGGATGATAGTGTTACGGTTTGACCATTGTTTGAGCTTAGGTGGAACCTAAGCCTAATACTAAGAATTCTTACAATGAGGCTGTATGGGGGGAAGATGAAGCTGAACGAAACGGCACTACTACTCAGGAGGCTGAAGCGTTATTACAACTTAGTGATACCTGGAAATACGTGGCTGGGTAAGAAGTATTGTGCCTAAGGACAAGTCACAAGTCTGTAGATTCACGAGGAGGATTAACTCTTATAAATACCTGTTAGAAGTAGCTAGAGTTAGCTTTTCTCCTCATATAGTTTATTAAATCGATTTATTCATCACAAACTCGGTTTCCGTCACAATATAAACTATATCATTCAAATCCTTTGCCCGTCATTAATTACATCGCAGTCGTAGATAACTGTGACTTAGGGCATCTTTAATTATTGGTTTCAACGCACAGGGATTCTACGATCTCAGATGAACAAAATGATGAAAACAATGTAGGAATGATTGGAGAATGAGAAAAAAACTCCCCTGCAGCCGACAAGAGCTAATGTGGGAGGCCAATCAGAATGTAGAGAATATTTCATAGAAGAGGAACCACTTAAATGGCCAGAAGCATACGACAACAAGGATAGAACTAAGTGGGCAATTACACATGGAATACTCAGGCACATATACAGGCGCAATGTAGAGGAGCGGAATATTCTTCAACCATCTGACTTTTCAGTGCAACTATTTAATCATGCAGTAACTGGAACAGCGAAAGATATGATCAGAGGTCAGTTTCAGAGTATGCTTGCAAATGGCATGGAATGGGATGCGCTAGGTCTGTTACAGGCTATGGATGATATCTACCGCAACAGAAACGAGGAACAATTGGCGGCCGCACTATTTCATGCATGCCGACAATTCCGGGACGAGAACCTATCGTCATATCTACCGCGCTTCCAGCAGTTACTCTCACGAAGTCCCAGTTCGAAAGGGAATGAGAAATGCATGATATACCAGTTACAAAATCCTCTGAATATGATGACTAGAAATTACATGATTGGTAGTCTGCGCCCTAGAACACTCCGAGAACTAACTGATTACCTGTCGATCCTAGGTTCTGAAATTGACGAGGTTGGTATAGAAATTACAAGGGAATACCTACTAGGTCAGACTGGGTACTTCGACGACGGAACACGAGGCGTAGCTGGGGGAAAACTACTAGGGGGAATCTCACAAGAAATTATGCACCACCTTCCAGCCAAAGCCAACTTACACATTAAGGATTTAGATTGCAGTATAAGGATGACCGATCTTAATAACGTCCGCGCAAAGTGGGTTTCACGTGTTGAGTTGAACTAGTGCAAAATAGATGGGTCGTGCTTGCAATGTGGAAAGATTGGCCACATTATAGCTAATTGTCGACTACTTCCAGCAAAGAATTCTGAAACTTCTACCAAAGTAGCAACATTTGCCGAACGTATTGTAGATACAGCCAAGGCCAAAGTTCCGAAGAACGAGGTATCTAAAAGATCAGCTCCCAAATCAAATTGTCCCCAAATGCAAGAAATTGAAACTATGACAATGGCTGCTAGCTCGAGATCAACCAGAGATAAAGAAGCTGAATGCGCTATGAACGAATCTTCGTTTATCATAGACACTGTGATCAACAGAATTTATTCAGTACCCACTTTGATTGACAATGGATGGAAATGTCTAGCCGCTGTTAGTAATTCATTAGTACAAAAGGCTAACCTGCCTCGGATAAAAATAAGTCCGCTCAAACTCTCAGAGGCAACAAAAAATCAGCACCATGAAGATGATATCACGGAAATGGTTAGAATGGAGCTAGACATTGATGGGTATCAACGCAGGCTGTATGCGCATATTATACCAATGTTATCTCATGATCTTATATTGGTAAAACCATGGATGGAGCGGGAAGATGTTATTTACAATGCAAGGGAACATTTCATGGACATTGGAGAAGCTATTGTGAACGATCGACCAATGAGAGTGTGGGAAAAGGGTCAACAGTCAATGATGGATTCATCTTATTGAACAACAAATATTAAAATTTTGTTGGCAGGGGTATGTCTTGCAACTGTCAGGAAGGCCAGTAAGTCAAGCGCTGGGCAAACCCAGCTATTTTCTGTAACGCTGGTAGACATTCAGAAAGCGCTTGCGCCAACAAAGAAGTCACCAAAAAATTTGGACAGACTCCCAAACTACTGTAAACAATTTGCCAACCTATTTCGGAAAGAGCTAACAGACAAACTGCCACCTCATCAGCAAGGATGTGATCACGAGATAAGGCTTGAGCCTGACAAAAACATACCGTGGGGACCCCTGCATGGAATGTCAAGGGATGAATTATTGGTACTAAGGAAGACTCTGACAGACCTTCTTGACAAAAACTTCATTTGTGCAAGTAGTTCACCAGCAGGGGCACCAGTATTATTTGTTCGAAAACCAGGCGGAGGTCTGCAATTTTATGTAGACTATTGCGCCTTAAATGCTATTTCGAAGGCTGATCAATATCCTCTCTCTCTGATTAAAGAGACAATGTCTAAACAAAGTAGAGCCAAATTGTTTACCTAGTTGGATGTGCAATCCGCGTTTCATAAATTGCGCATCAAGGAAGGCGTTGAATGGAAAACTGCCTTTACAACACGATTTGGGTTATTTGAGTGGCTTGTTATGCCATTTTGGTTGAATGGGGCACCAGCAAGTTTTCAGTGATACATTAATAAAGCCTTACATGAGTACCTCAATGATTGCTGTTCGGCTTACGTGGATGACGTTCTCATCTTCACCAACAGAGATGAAGAGCAACATCAAAGACACGTACAGCTGGTACTTGAAAAGCTTGAGAAAGCCGGTCTGGGATTAGATATTGAAAAGTGTGAGTTTAGTGTCAAAGAGACAAAATACTTGAGCTTTATAATATCTTCAGAAAGTGGGGACTCCTCGGTCAAGATAGATCCAGCAAAGGTCCGGGCAATATCAGAATGGCAAGCACCCACAACAACAAAGGGACTGAGAGGTTTTTTTGGGTTTACAAATTTCTAATGTGGCTTTATCAAAGGATTTTCAAAAATTTGCGCATCTTTAACATCTCTTACAGGCAAGGATACACCCTGGAAGTGGGGCTCTGAACAAGATGATGCATTTGAATTGCTTAAGATAAAGTTTGTTGCCGAGCCTGCTCTAGCCCAATGGGATCCTGACCGAGAAACAATGTTGGAGGCAGATTGCTCTGGTTTTGCGCTTGGTGGCTGTTTGCTGCAGAAACAAGAAAACACCACATGGAAACCAGTAGCATACTACTCCAGGAAGTTATCTGGAGCCGAAATGAATTATGAAATTCATGACAAAGAACTTCTAGCCATTGTAGCAAGTATGAAGGAATGGGATACAGAATTGAGAGGTTTAGCACAGGCTTTCACTATCCTAAGTGACCACATGAATCTGAAATATTTTTTAAATATAAGACAGTTGACAGAACGACAAACTTGATGGGCTGAATTCCTATCCAGACTTAGATATACACTGGTATATAGGAAAGGTGCAGAGAATGAACGTCCAGATGCACTTTCAAGGAGGGATCAAGATAGACCTAAGGAAAGTGATGCTCAATTTTGAGGCGGGAGCGCCAGGTCTTAACGCCAATCCATCCGTCAAAGTTGTGTGTCGGCAATATTAATCTAGCGGAAGGCCATGAAATATTTGCCAACGAAGATTTACAGGAGCTTTGGAACCAAGCAATAAAAATCGATGAAATATATATCCAAGTTGCTAAGGCAGTACAAAGCGGAGAGCGTGTATGGCTCAAAGATATCAAGTTGCAAATAGA